TCTTCATCACTGTGTCTGTCACACGACTCTGTTGCCCTTTCAGGCTTGAACTGATGGTAAAACTAATGACATTATTTACTGTCTTTACATTTATTTTGAAAGATGAAGCTCATCAATTTTCACACATCAAAAGTGTGAAGTCTAACGTCATGTGTGTTCATACAGATCTGTTCAATGTCTTACCTCTTGAGGTTATTGGGGGAAATTAGCCTGCTTTTTGTGGTGAATGCATCAAGGACCCCACTATGAGTGAATGTTCTTTCAGTGCTGTACCATGACTGATTTGCATATTGTCTATTGCTGCTTTTTGTGGTCAGTGCTTTAAAGTGCTTACGAAAGAACCGCAAGCTAATTTGCTGGGACCTTGTCTTGTGAAGATCATGCGTTTGACTTCAGAATAGAAGGTTTTGTGTTCGAATCACGTTGGGGTGAGTGAGTGTCAAGTCTAATGTAAGAGGTGTTCCTTTTGTCGTGTATTATGATTAATTTGCATCTTGATGCTTGGACTTTTTTTTTTTAGCTGACAATATGAATACTGAAGAAATATCAGTTCAGAGACTTCACAGCTTGATCTGTATTTTTTCACTGCCCATATTAACAGATCATAGCATTTACACTGCATTCGGTTGTGGTCCAGTAATGCTAATCAGTTCTGCGCCAATTTGTATTTTTGCTTTGTTGTAGTCTCTGAATTAAAGTGCATTGTACAGTGTTTGTGGTCAAAATTAACATGGATTGACAGTAATTTCATGATAAATGCATGTAATGTCTACTGGGACAGCACAGCATGCTGTCCAAACCAAAGAAATAAAATGCAACTATTTGAAATCCGTGGTCAACTCTTGTGAGAAAAGAAGTGTCCTTAACTGTATTGAATGTGCACTTGTAGTGGAAATGTGATTTTTATTTCATGCTATTTAAGTGGGTCAAAAAGCACTTTGATGTTTATCTAATTGTATTTAATATAAATGTCAACTATACAACATTTTCAATGTATTGCAATTAATGTGCAATTAAGTGTCCGAAAAACTCAAAATTCACATACACTGCAAAACGTGATTTTCTTAGTATTTTTGTCTTGTTTTCTAGTATTCATATCTAAATATTCTTGAATTAAGACACATTTACTTGACAAGTAAAAGTCTTGTTTTCTAAATAAATAGAGAAAAACTTAAAGCAAGCAAAAATATCTGCCAGGGGGGTAAGAAAATTAATTTTAATTCAAAAGCTAAACAAGATTATTTTTCTTTA